TTATAAATGCACATAGTGCTTTATTGGTAAGTAACATATTCAACTACTGAGTCGAATTTTACAGTTTTAGAATTTCAACAAATTACTAGAGATTGTATAGAACGTTGTTTTGAAATTGTAATTATACTATAGTCTTATTTTCTAGGATCAAAATTATTTTTTAATTTTGTAAAACTGGCACACTTTCCAAATTACATAGCAAATATTTTTAAGAAAAATACCTAAATATTCAAATTAGCCATATCTATAGCATGCATATATAAATTTACAAGATGAATGTTTAATTAGTAGTTGTAAAGTTATTATCATTTTTATATTATGGAATTATAAATTTAATCAGAAAACCTCAAAATTTCTATCTTTCGAAAAATTGAGATAAGCTAAATACAACATCCCTTGATCGATCTGGACAACTTTCTAAATTGGACCAATAGCAAAAAAATGAACTAAAGACACCAAACCCAACATTCTCTATCTAAGATTATCCCTCTCTTTAGTCGGCTGCCTACGGAAAGGAGGGAAATGGGTCTTGATAAAAAGATGAAATGAGTGGAAAATAATATTTTCATAAGATGTAGGTTTTCCACCATGACGCTTGGCTTTGCAATGCTGCAACAATCTCCACTAAAGAGCACAATACTTTAGCTTGAATTAATTTGGTAAAAAGACAGAGAGTTCATCTTAAAATTTTCTCTTAGGGTGCTTTTTCATGCATACACACAGATTCCTAGGATCTGCTTCAGGACAGATTCAAATACTCCATATGCACATGAAACACACACATACAGAGGACATGAATGTAGAATTTTCTATGGTTACCCTTATCAGATCGAGTCAAAATAGGTATAACTAAGTACCACTTTACTAGGTATTACAAAGCTCGACGTCTTGCAATGAGCCTAGAAAGTCTTATCCATTAATGAAAGATTATCTTAAATCATGATCTTTCTATATTGGTACTGTCAAGCGATGTTTCTCCTTCCCTCTCGGGGTTGTGCTCGGGCTTCGCCCAAGCCGCCCCTCCCGGCCTCTCTTTTCTGGGTGCTCTTCTTCGTGTGCTTCATGGATGTTTTCATCTCCTTATAGTTCTGCTCTTTGGCATTGTTTCTCCTTTTTTTCCTGGTTTTATGGCGCCTCCTCGTTTTCGGGATCCTGGTTTTTTGGTTAGATCCTCCTCTCTTTCTTTTAAGGATGCTCTTTCTGGTTCTTCGCCTTCTTCCGCCCTTTTTCTGGAACATAGGGTTTCTTCACATAGAGGTTTACCTGCTCTGTGGATTTTCGAGGCGGAAATCCAGTCGATGGCTGCTCCATTCGAATTTACTCTGGCTGGTAAATTCCCTAGGTGGAGACCTTCCCTTGATGTTATTAAAAGCTTTTTTTTTCAAGCTTAGACTTAATGATGAAGTCTCTGTTACTATCCTGAACCAGTGTAATGTGTTTATTAAGCTTTTTAATGATTTGGATTATTATAGGATTTTTGCTCATAGGTCTTACTTTGTGAGTAATTGTTACATGAAATTGATTAAGTGGTCTCCTACCTTGGATATTGAGATCGAATCTCCAGTTATCCCTATCTAGATCTTCTTCCCTAACCCTCTGGCCTCACTTGTTTGCCTCGCGTATTCTTCATGGCTTAGGATTGATTTTTGGCAAACCTTTGAAAACTGATAATGCTACATCAACTGGTTCACGGCCATCGGTTGCGCACATTTTGGTAAAACTGGATGTGTCTAAACAGTACCCAAACAAAATTTGGATCGGCTCGGATAGTATTGGATATGTTCAATCTATAGTTTTTGAAGATTTTCCTGACTATTGCGCACACTGCCTTGCTTTGGGTCATTCGAAGACTGGGTGTGAGCTTCTTCACCCTAATCTTGTTTCTCCTGCCTTGCCTCCTCTTTCTAATTCTTGGGGTTTGGTGGCCCTGTGGCTAACCAGTTTATCCCATTGGCTCCGACCGAGTTTGTTGGAATTGAGTCTGTTGTGAATGGATTACATGAACCATCCAATGCCCCTATTTTTGTTTCTTCTGATATTGTATCTCCTGTTTCGGTTGAGAATGGTGTGGTGTGTGAGGGGGTTAGTCCTGTTAATTTGGTCCAGTTGGACTCTGTTTTTGTTTCTAAGGGACACTACGGGAAAACACACGATTACCGTCAGATTTTCCAGCAGATAAATTTGCGTCGATAGAAACGGTGCCTGTAACTGCGCATGATGCGACGTAAATTTTACGACATTTTTTCCTGCGCACATGGCGCCGAAAAAGTTTCCGACGTCTTATGCGCCGGCATTTTCCGGCGGCCAATATGCGCCGTAAACTAGCAGTAGCTTATTTACGGCGCATCTACGGCGTTTTATCTGCTGGTAATGTCCGACGGATCAATACGATGTAAACTTCCGGCGCAGTTATCACCGGAATGTCTGATTGAAAATCGCCGGCTTGGCCAGCATTTTTTGGGCCGGAGCTTGCGCCAGAACATTTTCTGGCGTCTCATAAACATCGGAAAGTTTTTTCAGACTCAAACCAAACCAGCGCACGAAAATCCACCGTAAATGCACCGGAAACCCGGGACTACCGGCGGATATAATCCGCCGGTAATAGCGGGTTTTCCTGTAGTGGGAGTAACTCATGTACCCCAGGTTCCTCATGTGTGTTTGAGTGAGCCTGGTGTTTTGAAATGTGGCTTTAATTCTAAACCCTCTTTATCATGTGCGGGTTTGTCTGTCCCGTGCGGCTTGGCTGCGGATAATGCTCAGTGTGTGAGCGTTGAGCCTTCTAGCTCTCCTGTTCATCCTAGTCGTGGTGTGGAATTGTCTCCGATGGTTATCGAAAGTCCGAATACTGCCTCTTCCTCTATTAATCAGGCTTCGTATTTGCAGGTTTTTGAGCAATTGGTTTTAACTCCTACGGATGGTTTTGAGGGCAATGGAAATTTTGTTAATATCCATGTATCTGTTATGCCTAATGTTGAAATAAAAGCCCATATGGCTAAGTCAAGGAAAAAAACTCTATTCTGCTTCAGACTGATTGGTTAATTTTAGAGGATTACCCTTCTGGCGGGGAAGAAACATATTGTCAGGAAATTGAGGAGGATATAATCGAATGCTCTATCGATCAAGATTATTCTCATGTGGGTGGAAAGAAGAATAAAAACAAAGGCAAGAAGAAATAGGTTTGGGATTTTGCTTTTGGCGACGTCATCGTTGGTTTTTGAAAGTCGTTGGACGATGATGAGGGCCCCATGATGCCCCAGGCTGGTTGGCAACCTGGGTGCTTCATTTCATTCGTGTTGGTGTTCAAACTACTGTCATCTATGTACGATCTATGTTTGACTGCTAGGCTGGTTTGGGGGGACTCCATTCCTGAGTCCATATGCTACTTCTCGTCCTCTGTTTGGATTTTTATCTTTTTACTGTTTGTATCGCGAGCTGATGATCTTGTATCTTCCTTTTTGTTTTAATAAAATTTGTTTTTTTTTAAATGATCTTTCTATAATGGTCTTCTTTTTCTCTCTCTTTCTTTTTCTTTTCTTTTTAACACATTTTTCTCAGCATAACTTGCCATTTTTTCCTTGAAGATGCGTCAATTTTCATAAATGCTTTCACTTAGGATGTGGACTTTCAATGATATAGTTTGCTTCTGCATATTTTATAAATTTTTAGTAGTATGTCTTAATTTTGTTTAAACTGTGCTAACACCATATCAGTTAGACTTGAAGAAGGGTAGTACAGATCATGCCTATGCGAGCATGAACCATACTGGCATGGCGATATATGTACCTAGCTATTAGTAACATAGCAAAATGCTTGAAGGCCATGGCATCAAATTTAATTTCAATATTGATTTATTGATTTTATAGATGTGACAAATTAAACTCTTTCTATTGCTCTTGTCCTTTTCCTCTATCACCCTCTATTATTTTGTATTCTATTGGTGTGGCTCTTTACACACTTATGTATAAATATGAGAAAACAAAAATTATATTAAAAAATAAATATTACAAAAAAGAGTCCAAAATTAGCCCAAGAAAGCCAAAATGGCCAACAAACCTATGAGTAATATAATATAAACAATAAGAAATAAATTAAAGGAAAACTACAAACTATTGATGATGACAATCAATTATTAAACTTTATTTGGATGACCAATGATAATCTTGGAGCAACTTCCATCTTCATATGAGCCTTCAATCTGTTGAATGCCTGCCTCAGTGAATATAAGCAAAAGTTCGACTTTGGTTAAGGTTTTGTTTGGTGCGTCTTTCTTACTGCTTCTTAAAACTGTTTTTTAATATAAAATTTTGAAATTTTTGTACTAAAACACTGTTTTAAGAAGCAGTAAAAAAGTCATCACAAACGAAACCTAAATTTGATGTAATACTTCTTCTTAAGCCTCCAATGATAAATCCTCTAGCAACATTTAATCTACTTATAATTTGACTTCATTTGATGCCTCCATTCTAAAGTCCTAGCTCCACCTAAAACCCCAAATTTTAACATCTACCCATACTAAGGTTTCATTTGTGATGACTTTCTTATTGTTTCTTAAAGCAATTTTCTTGTACAAAAATTAACTTTTTTGTATTAAAAAGTTATTTTAAGAAAGCAGTAAAAAAATTGTCTCAAATGAAGCCTAAATAAAATAAATTAGTCTTAATATCATGAGGTGTAAAAAAAATGTGAACAAGAAATATATTATCCACCTCAATCCACACTTTTAAAATATTTAGAGAGTTGCAGATGATAAGGATATACAATTTAGTATACATAGCAGTGCACTTAGCAAAATGACAAGCAAAAGATTTAATAATTACATTATCCAAAAGAATTTCTAAGAACATCACCATGACAAGTATAGGTATCATTAATTGAACCATCAGTTTTGATTTTAATATTGTTAACCTCAAATTTAAAATAGTATAGAACTTGCTAACATATTGGTGAAGAAGTGCAAGTGGGGTTAATATGAAGGACTATATTACCCAAATACTAGAGAAAAAAAAAAAGGTTTCAAAATTATTGCTAATTAAAAAAATATTTCAATTTCCAAGACCAAGCAAAGATACAACAAACGAATACCTTGAATGTATTCAGGAATATTACAAACTCTATATATTTGGCAAACCCTGCCATTCTAAAATAAACATGAATATGCTTGAAAAATCAAATTACTCTGCAAATCAAGTTGCGCCACTAAGAAGACAACATTAACATAAAAAAGATTTAATGGTTTGAGTAAGAAATTCTTGCCATGCTCATCTGAAAGACCATTGAATCTCTTCGAGGGTTCTTCCCTTGGTCTCTGGCACCAAAATGATTACAAATACTAGAGCAAATACAGTCAGTGCAGCATAAAGTGCAAAGGTTCCTGTTAGAGGGAAATCAAGAGTCATCATTAGAAGAACTAGATGGAAGAATGGATTGCTAAGAATGGATAAGCAGTAGTGGAGTAAGAAGCAGCAAAGGGGGGGGGGAAGAGGGGACCTCCGGTACTCCAATCAAGAAGTAAAGTAGCAGTCATTGTGACAATCCATGATGTCAACCAGTTGGCTAATGTAGCCACACTACCAGCAAGGCCTTTAATATTAACGGGGAGAATCTGCAATCACACAGAAGTTGTTAAGGATGAGGATTCCATGGAATTTTTTTATTTTAGAAAGGTTTGTTTGTTAAAGACTTGACTATTGCAGTCAATAAATTATTTAATATTTGAAGACTGAATGTAATAAGCTCCTAACATAAGTGACTATTAAACGTGTGGTTATGAGTAAAACAAGTCATGTTACAACTAAGGCTTCGTTTGAGACGACTATTTTATTGCTTTTTAAAACAGAATTTTAGTAAAAAATTTTAAGATGCAATAAAAAAACTCGTCCCAAATGATGTCTAAGTATCAGGAGCTTGGTCGGAAGACCCGACTTAGGAAAATAAACTCAGCAAGCCAAAGCTTGGAAAAAAAAAAATAAACGGATACTGAATTAGAGATGTTAATGAAATCCAGTAAATATATCAGAGGGCCCTTCCTGTTGCTCAAATTATTTCAATATTGGCATAACTTGACAATCCACACACCATCACATGCAGTTTCATACGGAATCCATAGTAGAAATTCCATCAAGTAATCCTCACAAACATAAAAGCTTTCAGGATTATAGTAAATATTATTCCAATATGCATTCCTCTACTGAAAAGACTTTCTTATAGAAATGGTGTTCAGAAATCATAAATTAAGCCCATTTTAAGAAAGGTTTAACACAGTTGTGAGGAACCTGAGTCAACAGGAAAAATAATTTTGTCATAGCAAAGAAAGAAACAAAGCAAAGCGAAGAAATTCCTTCTTATGCTAATTACTGTACAAGAAGCAACTAAAAAAAAATAGTGAAAGATAGTGAAAAAATATGGATCATCACATAGTTAAATGGCATTGAAGCATTTTTAGCCAATTCCACGTTCTGATTAGATCCATCAAACCATTCTTAAGTACTAAACCAAATATCAATTTGTTTTTAAGGGAGCTAGTACTGCTGTGTTCAAGAAAAATGCATTATAATGTGTTTCTTGTTGAAGTTTCTGCAGAAGGTTCTACAGTAACTGGGAGAAGAGGATTGAAACCTAGACCCATCTGTAGTAAATTTTTGAAAGTCATTTCATTTTCTAACATTTACAAACACTAAATGCAAAATAAGATGGCCCAGAGTCAAGCCCCAAGCAAGGCTGGCATTTAAAACATGAAAAAACAATGGTGAATAGCCCAGTAATCCAGAAAATATCAAAATATACAATGCCAAGGTCCGTGATGTTATTTTACTCAAAAGCCTTTTTATTATGAACATAATCGAGACAATAATATACTAGCAAGTTCAATTGGAAGGTAAAAACCAATATAATGTCCAAATATTATCAGAGAACTAACAATGGTAGGAGTTTTTCTTATTTTAAAAAAAAAATCTATCAACACATGGCCGTGTTACAAGATAAATTTTGGCTGATAAAACACCAAAAAATAGATGACGAGTTGCCATTAGCTTTTGCATCTTATGTAAAATTATGTAAAAGAACAAATAGGCTACCTCAGACATTATAATCCATGGAATGGCTCCAAGCCCAAGCGAGAAGGAAATAACAAAAGCCTGAAGGAAAATAAACGGATCAATTTTCGAAAAAAGCAGAAAAACCAGTGGTCCATAATAATAACATACCACAAGTCCAACCAATGCAAGCACACTCAGCACAGAATGCCAGTGAGAGTCTTCTGGAACAATACCCTGCATCCAATGAAGTGCATCAGATGTGAGAACACTATATAATATTCAAACATCTAGTGAAAAAAAAAAAGAGGAAAAAACATTGCAAATGAACATAAATAATGATCATATAAAATAACAGGAATTTAGAATAGCAAAGTAATCTAACCTCCAAAAAGAATGAAGCAGAAACAAGGATAAGAGTGGCTGTCATCCCAGAAGTGGAAATCTGTATTCAGGAACATAATATCAAGCTATCAAATGATAAATAAAGTAATTTCTAAATAAGGAAGAAAACAGTTCTACTCTCAAACTCACTATGAGGAAAATTCGACGCCCAGCTTTATCCAACAACCATGTGTTGATAACAGTTACAAGGACCTGAAAAACATTGATTTTTCTTATTTTATTTTATTTTATTCTGTGGTACTAATCAGGATCAAATACACTTGGTACCTGAATTGCCCCAAGCCCGCAGGTTACTATGTTACTTGATGAAATCCCTGTAAGAGAACAAAGATATTAAGCATTGACACATATTTTCAACCAATGTTGTAGTCCTAGTGAATTCATTAAACCAGGAGGAAAACTGTGAGAGATGTTACTGCATAGACTAATGTGAACGTGATTAGAATCAACATTAAAACGCCTACAAAATATTTGTACTTTATTACAAAATTAAAAAATTCAAGAACAATTAACGTAAGAAAAAAAGCCGACTGCAATAAACTAAAAGAAATCTGTGCTTAAACAGTGGCGACCTGCCAACCATACATGTATGTCCTATGAAATTCAGATAGGCCAAGCATTTATAGACAAAAGGTAGCCTGCATTAGTTCCATCACTAGGACTGATAGGAAGTTTTCAAGCTTGCAGGACGTTCCTGATCAAGGTGCTCCATACAGTTGGAAATCAATGCAAGCCCTCGGGTTTCGGCACATTAAAAGAATCATACAAGGGCAGTTTCCTACTATATTATTGGTATTGAAATTAGCTTAAAACAAAAGCCCGATACGGGGAGAAATTTGAGGTTTGTATTAATGCAGATAATAGATACAGAAAAGATATTTGTTCACACACTACAATTGAGTCGATACATGTATATATAAAGTGCAAAACAACATTTTTGGATAAGTGGACATGCAGCCATCTGGTGTACATCTATGGTGGGTATGGAATTGGTTACAGGTAACCGCAGAGAACAATTAGTGTGCTTCAGGTTGCTGAAAACTGTCATATGCGGTTTGCTGAAGTAGTTTCTGTTTTGCTGAATAAGTAACTAACATTGCCCCCTGCAAATTAAGGATCCAAAGATTGAACCGTTAACTTGTGTCGAAGGAAATTAAAACTGTTGGCAAATAGAGGCTTAGTAAGGATGTCAGCAGGTTGATCTATGGAGGCTAAATAAAGAACAGTAATTTCTTTGGATAGAATCCGATCGCTAATAAAATGATAATCAAAGTCGATGTATTTGATTCTAGCATGAAAGGCAATGGCTGAGGACCTGAGGTGTTTTCACAATAAAGAGGTGTTGGTTCAAAAATTGATATTCAGAATTCCTGCAAGAGAAGACGAAGCAAAATGATGTCAGAAGTGGTGGAGGCAAGTGCTCGATATTCAACTTCGATTGAAGACTTGGCCACAGTAGCTTGCTTTTTAACCGACTAGGAGACGAGGATTTCCGAGGTAAGTACAGTAACCTATTGTGGACTTGCAGACTAGAAGATCAACTGCCTAGTCTGATTTTGAGTAGGAATGAAGGAGAAGGTCACCTGGAGCAATGGGCATGAAAAAATAAAGACATCCCTGAATGTAACGAAAGAGACCGTTCAACTACTGATTGTGCTTGTTTAAGGAATGATGCATATGCTGAAAATTTTGATTTGTGGCAAAGCCAATGTTCGGACCAAATTATATAGTAAGTTATTGGAGAGATCCTGCGAGTCTTCGGTAGAGAGCAAGGGGTCATTGTATATTTGATCGGCATCAGCAATTTGAGGCAGTTTGACACACATCGGAGAGACAGTCGGTTTGCTGGAGGAGAGACCAGATTTGGCAATTATATCTTTTGCATATTGGGACTGATTGAGAAAATAGCTGTCAGTTGTATGAAGAACCTGAATTCCTAGAAAGAGGGAGATTGGTCCTAACTCCTTGAGAGAGAACTGCTATTGTAATGCCGAGATAAGTGTAGAAATGGTGGGTGGATGGTTACGGGCGAGTAGTGTTGGGGACGAGTAAACACCACAATAACGAAACAAGCAAGAAAGTAAAAGCAGCGAAAAAAATAAATGATACTAGGATTTAACGTGGAAAAACCCAAAAGAGGAAAAAAATCATTGAGCCACACCACACTAAGAAATCCCACTATGAAAATTGGGAGAAATAAGTATAGATTTATCTTCTCTCTCACTCTCTCATTTCTTCTCTTCTCTCATGCACCGTTCTCCAATGTCTAACCTTCTCAAAATACAAGCGAAAGACAAGTAAGTAACCCCAAGGAATGCAACCCTTCAGAAAAATGAGGAAAAAAAACGTATAATCTGTCTCGCAGCGCTATGGCGCTTGAACTTCTATCTTGATCTGCTACAATATTGTATCTATGTCGTTGTGGCGCTCTACTCTCTTTCATTCAACGTTAGGATGCTCGGGAACACAGCGTTGGGACATTCAAGTGCGTAGTGTCGGGGCGCTTAGATACACAGTGCATGGTATTGTATGGAAAAACTCCAAACAGGGATAAACCCCCCGCACCCCCCAGCAAGCACGAGACACTTGAGGTCCGAGGCAACATAACTATCCAATTGATCAACACAATCAGATTCCACACATAACAAGTAGTATGTCATCAACATATAGAAGCAAGTAGAGATGAATGCTGTTGTGGGAAAAAGTCAGGAGGGAGGGATCATAAGCTCTAAAACAGAAACCAAAATTGAGAAGAAAATTACTAAAGGTGGTGAACCATTGTCGTGGAGCCTATTTTAAGCCATAGAGCGCCTTGTGTAGTTTGAAAACAAAGTTAGGATGTTGCGAGTCATGAAACCCGGGTTGTTGGTGCATGTAGACATCCTCATTGAGGGGACCGTAGAGAAAAGCATTGAAGACGTCAAGCTGAAGAATAGACCATTTGTGATGTAGAGCAATATAAATAGTAGGTATTTTGGCAACATGACTAAAAGTTTCATTATAATCAATCTCGTATTATGGATTCAAGCCTTGAGAAACAAGGTTGGCCCTATGACGAGCAATCGTGCCATCAAGGAGATGACAAGGAGGGAGTAGCAACAGGTGATGCTTGCGGTGGGGGCCGAGGATAAAGAAAATTGTCTTCGTGAAAGACAACGTGGCAGGAGATATGAATGCAACCAGTTTGTAAGTTGTAGCAGCGATAACCCTTGTGAGATGTTGAGTAGCCAAGGAAAATACATGCACTAGAGCGAGGAAGATGTTTGGTGGAGGCTAGAGGTGCTAGTCATAGGAAGCATAGACAGCCAAATGTCTTAAGATGATCATAGGAGGTTGATGTTTTGTAAAGAAGTTGGTAAAGAACAAGAAAATGAAGTGCTTCCGAAGATAGAAGATTAATTAATCAAATATCTCACCTTGGATCAGAACAAACATGGCCAAATCTAGTCAAATCAAGTTTTATAAACTCAAACAATCGATCAACTTGATTTTATGGGCCTTTCTCAATCTAATGTTATAAATTCTAATAGAGTTGTCTTGTTTATAGGCAATGTTTAAAATTGCGTATTCGAGTATCGAGGCGTTTTTTATTCGTGAGGCGAGGCGTAAGCCTCAAGGCGTTTTGAGGCATAAGCCTCAAAATCAAAGATTGCGTAAACATAATATGATAAATTTTTTATATACTACTGATTGAATAATATAAAACATAAAAAAAACATAAGATATGAAGTGAAATCAAAATATCTCAATAATAAAACAACATGAAATATAGTTCAACTCAAAATTCTATCTTTCCCAAATCCCAGTATTCTTTTCATTAACATATAATTCCAATTTCCAAAAATAAATAAAAAAAACATATCACATAAAAACTCATAAGTCATCAGCACTGTCATCATTAAGGGGTTCTTCATTTGAATCATCAGTATGGTGAACTGCTTTCTCCCCTTCCTCCTCTCCTATAGAGTCCAATGTCAGGCATTTACTTCAAGATTTATATAAGTTTTAATATATATAGCGTAAGGCGTAAGCCTCATGCCAGTGAGGCGAGGCGGGCCTCAACCATGTTGAGGCG